ATGATATAAGCAATTGGATACAAGTAACAGTCTTATCAAGAAGTAAGTTAAAGGGGAATTGAAACGATATATTAGAGTTGCAGGGACGATTAAATGTAGCTTTTTTAAAAGTAATATAATTACTTGGAATGCTTAGCGAAGTTCAGGCACTTGAACATGGTAAATTAACAGTCCGTTTCAATGGAGTCGATTGATCAGTGTGGTCAATTAGAATTTCCGAGTCAAATCATTGGAGAGAGTAGCGAGGTAAGTAGAGGAGTCCGGTTCAGTACACAGTAATCACGGTGTGGTTCCCTTTTGAGGTGTAGAGGATAAACATCATTAACAAGGGGTGTAATCTGACGATGAAGGAAACCCAGAAGTAACTCAGTGGAATCGGTTGCAAGTAAGACCTGACATTGTGCTAGGTGGTGTAGTCGAGGTCATTGGGAGGATAGTAATTTCTGAATTTCTTTTTTATATTCTTTATTTTAGGGTAAGGCAGTTGTAGAATTGCCTGTACAGAATCTATTTGGAATCCCAGAAACTGAACTATCTGAGAAGGTTCTATATCTGATTTCCGGAGATTTATGACGAAAGGTTTTGAAGTAAAGCAGAAGTCATGTACGTATGATTGCGGAGCAGGTGTGGGTCTTGAGTCATGATTAGGTTATCGTCCAGATATATAATAGAACAAACTCTTTGGGAGTGGACTAGTGCCATGACCGGTTTAAATAATTTATTAAAACACGATGGTGTGGAGCATGGGTCCTCAAACTCCAGCCCCCCAGATGTTGCTGAACTACAACTCCCATGATTCTCTGGCTTTCTATGTAATTCAAAGAATCATGGGAGTTGTAGTTCAGCAACATCTGAGGGATATTTTGAGTTTGAGGACCCCATGGTCTGGAGCAATGACCGAGCAATGACCGAAAGGAAGGCAGGTGAACTACCAAATATCTTCTTGCCGAGGAAAACACACTAAGCTGACCTGACTGTCAGGACCTCAGTGGCTATTGTATGCCCCCCGAATGATGCCCTGACGATAGCCAGTGTGAACTAATGGCACCGTAAAATATACCCACACATGAACGGCCACATGAGCACCCCGGTAACAGCACCCGACCGGAGTATGGACAGTATAGGACCCACGTAAATGCAGGCAGCCCGCACATAACACATAAGGATAGGCAACACGACACTGAGAGACCTGAATGCCCAAGACCCACATGCCCTCATGGAAGGAAAAGGGGGACACTGGGGGAGAGGGGGGAAATAAAAAATAAAAAGGGGGGCATTACTGTGGGCTGTGGACGGGGGACAGCTGAGCAAGCTGACACAAGTGATACTCAGCCAACAGCCCTCCTTGTCTCAAAAACCACAACCGTGCACTCCAATGCTCATATCACGCCACCCCCACACATCCCCATGGGGGGGCTGTCGGTTGGGCTTCAATACATCCAAGATAACATAAGGTGGTGAGGCCTATTTTTGATGTTACATTACGGTTTGAAATATTGTTCATTTTCTGACTCTGTAAATAGTTACCACACTCCACCAATTGGAGCTAGGCACACATCCCAAATCTGTGTGAACAATTGTCACTGTGGGGAGAGGGAGCCGCGTAGGGCAGGGTAAACCCAGCCTGGGCGTGGGGCCTTCTGCCTCCGTAGTCACACGGATCCCCTCGTTAGCGCAAGGTTATTGTTACTATCGCAGTTCCCTGCCGATCCTCTTGCGCTGGTCGCACCTCTCCCGCCTCTCCCGACTCGCGGGAACCGCGACACCCTGCGGGAACACCCAAACCTGACTCTGAGGTGGATACTACCCGCTATCAGGAAACACACACTTACATTGTTCACCCGAAACACGCACACCCTACCAGGCGTGGATGTGCCCACACCTTCGCCTTTCTGCAAGAGGCGCACTTTCGGGAGGGGTCGGACAGCATGTACTCCCACTGTGCATACAGCAACCACAACACTTCCAAAAAGGCAGGGGTCAACATACTTTGGGCCACAAGACTGGACAGAGTGACCGATCCGGAGGGCAGACATATCTTTCTCAAAGGCACCATCGCAAACCACACTTACACACTAGCGTGCCTATATGCCCCCAACCAAAACCAGTCACGCTACATATGCAGAATGCTGGTTGCTCTCTCCGAATTCACCGAAGGCACACTCATACTGGGAGGCGACTTCAACATCCCTCTAGACCCCATTGTGGACTCCTCGACGGGACATTGCAGCATACCGCAGAGGGAAATCCCCGGTGTTCAGAAAGCCCTCTGACGCTTAAGATTAGTGGATTGCTGGAGAGTACTGGACCCCACAGTAAAAGACTACATGCATTACTCGCGGTCCACGCGAGATACTCGAGGATTGACTTCCTGTTCCTACAACAGGAATCACCACACAAGCTACAGAGTACCACGGATCGCTACTGATGACACTAGACTCACCACTCTCGTGACCCAAAACCATGAACTGGAGACTAAACAAATCCCTACTAATGGACATAGAAATCAGAGAACAGATCACCAAAGCCCTAGAGTCCTACTTCACAGTCAATGTGCTGGGGCAGGTCTCCGACGCCACCATATGGGAGGCAAACAAGAGTGTCCTGAGAGTCCTGATTATCCAACTGGCCACCAAGAAGACAAGGGCCGTTCACGGACAATGGATGATCTACTTACCAAAATTGGGGACATCGAGGCGAGACATAAGCAGACTCTCTCGGACGAGAAATATAGGGAGCTGCTGGACCTCAGGAGACAGCTACAGGCGCTACTCGTCAAGAAGCACTACAGGAACATACAAATATCCAAAGGCTTTTTTTACATACACGCAAACGGGGGCAAACTCCTGGAACGAATGTCAGGGGCCAACAGATCCATGCACAAGTACATAAACTGAAACTCACAGGGAGCAACACAACACAACACCCGGAAATAATAGCGAACGAATAACGCACTCTCTATTCAGATTTATACAACCTACACCACAGAACCGCACAGAACCACCACGAACTAAGATGGAAGCAGTACGGCAATACCTCTCAACTTACTTCTCCAAAAGAGTGACTCGGGACGAGGTGGACCTCATGAACGCGCCAATCACAGAGGAAGAACTGAAGGCAGCAATTAAGACGGCAAAAACAGGCAGGACACCTGGTCCTGACGGATTTTCCCTGGAATACTACAAGAGATTCGGAAACGCACTCCTCCCTAAACTCGGTAAAGCCCTGAACTCAATCCCATCAGGGACCAGATTCCATGACGAAATGCTGGCAGCGACAATCACCATCCTCCCCAAACCTAGCAAGGACCCAGAGCTGTGTAGTAGCTACAGACCAACATCCCTCCTAAACATGGACATCAAACTGTTCACCAAGGTGCTAGCGAGACGCCTAATCACATTCCTCCCGAGGCTAGTCCATCCGGACCAAATGGGATTCATCTTGGGCCGAGAGGCAAGAGACAGCACGCTTAGGGTACTCTCCATACAACACCTCACCAGAACGAAGGGAGAGCACATGCTCCTACTCTCCACTGACGCGGAGAAGGCTTTTGACCAGGTGGACTGGACCTTTCTGACGGAGACTCTTAGAAAGACGGGATTTGGATCAATACTCCTCGCCTGGATAGATGCCATACACAGCCGGCCCAATGCCCGCGTGAAGGTGAACGGGGCACTCACGGAAACCTTCCCAATACAAAATGGGACCAGGCAGGGGTGCCCCCTATCTTCACTGCTCTTTGCCCTAACCCTGGAACCCTTTCTTGAAGCAACACGACACAATGGAGACATCAGGGGCTTCGCGGCAAATGGAACTACACACAAAACGGCGGCATATGCTGATGACATGTTGTTCTTTGTTAAGCAACCCAGGATCACATTACCATGCTTGATGCAAGAATTCACGACCTACGACCGCCTCTCGGGCCTCAAACTGAACCTCTCCAAATGCGAGATCCTAAACATTACGACCCACTGTGGGGAATGCAACTCACTATGCACGCAGTTCCCGTTCCACTGGTGCGACTCCAAGATGAAGTACCTCGGACTCTGGCTCACGACTTACCCAAATGACCTAAACCAAATGAACTTCGTACCACTCCTCACTAAGATACTGCAAGATCTCCGTACCTGGAATTACCAACATATCTCGTGGATCGAGCGCATAGCGGTAATAAAAATGAACATCTTACCTAGACTTCTATACCCGTTCCAAATGCTGCCGATGACCCTACCCACGGCATTCTTCTCATCACTACGATCAACAATCATACAGTATGTCTGGAACAGTGCCCGACCGCGCCTTAGACATGAAATCCTATGCCTGCCACGACACCGGGGTGGACTTGCACTGCCAGACAGGAAATACCATCATGCACAGCGCATTTTAGAATGGCACTCCGACTCACACCACAAACAATGGTTCGCACTGGACTGGGCGACCAGGGACATGCACCTGCTTGGGGAGATGTGGCTGGCCCGGACCCCCCTCCCCGCCAGGGGTCTCGGGTCGGACGTCCCCTGCCGCCCACATCGTAAAAACATGGCACTCAATACGGACGGCCCTGCACCTCTCCCCAGCCCCGAGCCCAATGACGCAGCTGACTAACAACCGCCTGATAGGAGGGGGCCTCACATCCAGAGCCTGGGGGTTTCCTCGGCACACAGTAATTCATTCCCATCCACAAAGTATTAGATGACACGGGACTAAAGCCCCTACAGGAATTGACGAACAAACCAACCCACTTACACACATAGAAACATAGAATGTGACGGCAGAACCTACAGTCTCCCGATGTATTCAATCCATGGTCTCCACCGTTCAACGTGCGTGTTGCTTCTGCCCATCACCGATGTCCTTATGGCTTCCGCTGAGTATAGCTCCTCCAGCGTGTCGGGGGTTGTGTTTGTTTCCACATAGCAGGTATGAGTGCCTTTGCTCCGTCGAGTATGTGTCTCAGGATGGATTTCTTGTATTGCGGGGAGCCAGGGGTGAGGTAGATGCCCACAGCACATAAACTGTCGGTGGTGACCCCCTTGTCTCTGGTTCGGCATTTCAGTATACACGACAACACGATAGAACACAACATCACACTATCTACGGTCACAGAGCTTCTGCATAGCCCCTATACGGAGAACAGGAAACTGACACATGGAGAAGCAGGGCACCTGACAGGCACCATTAATAAATGGCGTAGAGTCACTGGGAACCACCACACACGACCAGAGAATGAGAACTACCGAACCATAAACATGCCCCGTAAATACCCGGGACCCAGGGGACAATCCTCGCGGACACATCAGACTGACTCTCAGGAGTGGGGCAATGGGGACGCCGGCGTGAGGGGTCAGGGCACGCGAGGTACGTGCCTCAAATGCGGGGAGGTGGGGCCGTAGCCGGGGGGTGCGGGGGTAGAGGCGTCCAGCGCAACCTAAAAAAAAGATCCTATAGGGCCCAGATGGGGAATAGAATGCGTGCAGAACCAACTGCAAACTATAACGGGTTCGTTCACCAGACACAACCTCCATCAAACCCGAGAAAAGGGCCCCACTTGGGGGTGGTGTTCCTTCCTACCCAAAACACTACCTGGCCTCAGACCCTAGTCAGGCTGAAGGGTGACACGCTGAACCAAAACATAAGAAAACCACACATGCACTAGGGAAACCATGCCGCTAGACATAATATTATATCTGAGGAATGCCAAGCAATGCATTATTACCTATCATACACAACTTCATGGCAAATATTATTTTGGGGTGTGGGACACTCTAGCAAGGATGGTGGCAGCATATCAGGAGCCCCAATAAAATTTTTAAAATCCTCTCGCACAACACATAAAGTTATTCAAACAAACAACTCTAAGGGAACAACCGGCCCATATTAGAGATGCGACCATGCCCTATGTTACGAGTGTTCAAATACCCCTCACGCTAGATAACATGATAACCCTTTGTGAAACATAGGATACCCAACACGATGCCACTTTATGTCCCCTGTATGATGAGATATCTAGAGACCTCAATTGCACTGTTTTCCTAGTACCACCTATGAATCCCTATCAGCTTGGTCACTTAATTTATGATATGGGACCTGCGAGTATCCTATGATATGGGACCTGCGTGTCTACCGTCTGCACTGATGACCGATACCTGCCTGTTTAAGATGAATATGAGACCTGCAAGTCTCAACTTTCTGCAGTGACATAAAACCTGACAATGACAAAACACTAAAAATTATATTTACAAAAAAAAAATTATCTTCTTTCCATAGGAGTTGAAGGAAAGCACGATGGCTTGAAGCGACTGGGACTGTGAGGTATGCATCTTTAAGATCGAACCTAGAGAACCTGTCTCCCACACAAAGGAGGTCCCTGAGAAAATTGATGCCTTCCATCTTGAAATGATGGTACCTGGCATATTAATTCATTTTAGGTTGATAATTGGCCGGTGGTCTCCGGTCTTCTTGTGTACAAGGAATATGTTGCTGAGGAAGGTACAGGGGAAAGGCGATTGTTCGATCACGCCTTTCTCCATGATTTTGCTTAACTCTGAATTTTAGAAAGTTAGATTGCCTGCCTCTCACATGCATAGAGGTGTCAGAGGGGCATATTGTATGGGATGAGTGAGGAAATCTTGAATCTTGAATCATCTGACTGTATGAAGAATCCATTGATCCTGAGAGAGTAGTTTCCACTGTTGGAAAAAATGTGTTAATCGACCTTCAGTTGGTAAATTGAAATAGGTAAGGTCTATTACCTGAAGCAGTGCGTCCGCATAGGGAGGCAGAGCCACGTCTTTGAATAGATGTGGTTGAAAAACTGGTGATGATAGGGTCGGTGGGTCTTGAAGCCCAATAGTCTGTGGGGCGAGGATTGTAGTCTGTGAAGGCTATTCTGCTGGTTGCTCAGTCCCTATAGCAACCAGCTCTCTCAGAAAAACAATGTGTTTGGGAAAAAAAGCCCTGTGTCACTAGGACTGGGCTTTGTTTAATGTGGTTAAGGTAGAGAGGTGCTTACAGAGGTCTCACATAAAACTGTCACCAAATAATAAGCCATTGGCTTCTGGTCCCAATTCTTTGGAACTTAAATCCACTAATTTGGCATCTATTTTGTAAAGTGCCGCTTTACGTCTTTCAGTTGAAATTGCCACATTGGCATTGCCTAGTAGGCATAAAGCTCACTGAGTCCAGTCCCGCCCAGTATGCGGATATTGCTTACCACTAGTGAGTACCTCATCTGCTAGAATAAAAATTTGGATAATAGGGGATATTATCCAGAAATTTGTCTTGGGTTGCTTTCAACCCTTGTTCATTGCCCTTACAAGGGTCTTTGCCAGATTTCGTTAAAAAAGTGACCAGCATGGGGTCAAATTCCAGTGTTGAGGATACTTTACCTGGGATAGTTGGCCTGGGGCATTCAGCCCTCAATTTAGCTCTAATTTATTTCTCTTAGGGCTTGCGCAGCCACATTTTACAGAAACTGGCAATGTGATCTGGAGGAGCCCATTCAGCAGCTCGTAGATGCCGTATTATCCGTGAATCAAAGAGTGGGAGACCAGAAGCATCCAGTAGGATGTCTGAAGAAGGCTCTTTAAGTTTAGAACTACCCAAGCTTATATCATTGGCATGTTTTGTTTAACAAACTCTGATGTTTAGGAATCCTGGGGCACATCTGCCAGGAGATCCTCATAAGAGTAGTTAATACACCAGTCAAACTAGCGCACGACTCAGACGCACGAGCCCCTGAGAACACACAGATTCCGCAAATTAAGGGGAACGGGCAGGCAGGCTGACACTGGGAAGCATAATAATGCCGAAGACCCCCAAGACCGCAGACAACCAAACAGTCACCATAGCCTATATACATGCTAAGACTTGACGCAGGAATACACGTGACAGCTTAAGGTCACCTAATGACAGACCGTAGCGGGAAGGGACTGACACTGACCCAACAATAACAAGAATCTGACGGATACACTAGGCTAACACTAGGGCGAAGTCCAAGAACAGGCCCCACGGTTATGCAGAGACAGGGGTCGACATAGACTCATGGTCTGTTCACATTCCACATTTCACATAAGCTTGGCTACATAGCCTCGACCTGTAACCCCTTTATATGTTTGAACTTATATTGTAAGCCACAAACTTGCCATGTAAAACAAATGTTATTTCTTGACGCTGTATCTTGACACTGTGCTGGATCAACCACTGCTCGTATGTCAATACAAAAGAGAGATTGAATCCATAGCCTGAATCTCCATGCTGCAGTTTAAACTTAAAAACTAAGGAAATTGTTATCCTGGAAATGATACGAAATGAGCACTCATAAGCCGCAGATAGGTATATTCTGCACAGCTACGTTTATGCAAATTTTGTTGGTTACCTTGAAACCACATGTTTACTACCTACATAGAGTATCAGCAGGCCATTTCGCAATGTACTAACTAATGCCCAGGCGAATAGCATGACTATATTTGCATTGTATATATGTTTACTACAGGACTCCAAACGTGGCTCCAGTATTATGGTAGTAGCCTAACATAACTGATGTTTGCTTACTTTCAAAATGCTTTATATATGCTCTCGTTAAATGACTTAACAAAAAATGTGGCACTGTTAAACGAGGAAATGTTTCTACCTAATGCTAACGTTGTATTGACCCCACGCTGAGAACAAACTGTACATTTCCCTTTTCTTTCTTCTGTATCCCATCATATATGCCGCAATAAAACAAAGATTGACGAAAAAAAAAAGAGTAGTTAATACCATAGTCATCCATCATATGACCAGCCACCTGAAAATCCTCTGTATTTTTTCATTTTCTCATGTTCCTTCTGCCTGATGTTGGAAACCATGCAAACACTCTACCAAATCCTTTTAAGGCAGGAATTATGTGTCTTATTTTGAGTAATGTTTTTTGCACATATTTCTCTGAGCTGAGGAAGTGAGTGGTGGAGGGGTTGTGGTGGACTGAGATGGGCAATGTTTAAAAACTAAAAGTCTGAATGCAGAAAGGTGGCAAAGGATGGAAAGAGAGCACAACAGGGAGGGGACAATCTTCCCATTGCAGGCACGTTCACAGTGCTAAATGCAAGGGTATGAGCTGATCATAACTGTCACCAGCACCAGGAACAGAGTTTTGAACAGCTTAAGTCATGTGTTATGGGGGTGTAATTAGCCCATGGCACAAAACTGTAGATATCTCTGGAAGGGCTGCAAACACAGCCTACTTGTTCAATGACCTCTTCTAAAAGCTAAGAAAAAAGTAGGTATGTCTGGTGGGGCTCATACCACCCAAGCACTATTATTTGAATGGTATTACTGCTCTACCAAATGTGAGTAAATAACCAACTATTTTATTTGTATTTCATTTATCACAGTACTTACTATTGTTTGCGTTTATATTTTACTCCTTATATTTATTTGGATGCTGAGAGGCTAACCCTCAAGTGCTACATATCCATCAGTGGGGATGGTACCGATGCATTCTGTTTTACTCAGAGCTGGTCTATAGCTCTAAATAATGTGTGTGAGTCAATTTATCCTTGTTGTGTGTCCTTCACCTAATATCAGACCACCTCCCCGAATATTGGTTATTTTCTGTTTTATTACATATTTCTACGACTATCTGAAGCCTGGAATATTTTCAGCCAATAATTTCCCAAGAATCTTTTGACGTATTGGACTTATCCTATTTTGTGTTTGTTGTAGTTAATTCTAATAAAACTCACAGAAATGTGTCTTTATTTTACCATAATTTTTTTTTTTTTAAATTAGTATGTCAAAATAAATTGGTGTGCCAAAATTAGATAATTTGGTCTTGTTCTAAATTTTATGGCAATACAGGAGGCTTCATATTTGCTTAATCTTTCTTTACTGGAACCTTTACTAAAAATCAACCAATCAGAGAGCATGACAGTAGTATGTATTGTAATCATGCTCCTCCCAACTCCTCTTTCTTTGCTGCTTGCCTCAGAGGTGAGCCTATTCCAATTACAGTATCCTCAGTATACAGTATATTTAATTTTTCAACTACTTTTCAACAATTTCTCTTATATTAACTTGTCAAATCACTTTTACAAACAGAAAGATAAAGCACCGCGCTTACCGCAGCTTAGTATCCAACAGCTCAAAATACATAGTAAAAACAAAGAGAACAATACCTGCGCTCGGGCCTAAATCCCTTTGTACATTTAAACAAAATGGAGGCTCTTTAGTTTAATTCCAATGGCCATTTGAATATAAGCTCACCTGCCACGTCAAGGCAAGCCCCAAAAGGTGAGTCCTACTTTAGCCATTAGATTTGCTGATATCAGCCAAGAATCTCCAATGAGACAGGAAGGAGTATTTTATAAACCCTTTCA